CGAGAGAGCAACAACGTCATCGGTGTCCTTGTATTTCGACAGTCTGGTAATCGGCGCGTATTCAACTCTAGTCGTGTTCTCTTTCGCGAAGATCTTTGTCTCGGGCGTGTGCTGCAAATGGCGGGCTAGCGCCATCTTGACGTGCACGCAGCACTAGGGATTCTCGAGCAGAGTGGTGCCGCGTGCCGTTAGACGCGCGGCTCGGCGAGCATCGTCGCGCGCGTCATCGGGAAGTCGGTCCGGGCAATAAGCCTTGATGACTCGACGCTTGAATTAGTGCGAGTTGCCCCCACGCACGTTTTTGGATTTTCGATCATTCGCAAATCGAAATTCTGTGTATCGATATGCCTGACAATTATAGCGAAGAGATACCGAGTATTCGTATTAACGAGAGTGTATGTTCGAGTGAGCCAGTTTACCCGTTCTCTCGCGTACGTTCCGCCGCGCTCGTTGGTTAGGATTACAATTTTTTCAGTGGAGTTGCATCATATATGCCTTCTGAATTTCCCTTTGTAAATAATTTATACGTGCGATCAGGGGCACACTTTGGTGAAATCGATTCTCACGTCACAAGGGGTACACTTTCTTCGTGACAGAATAGATAGAACTTATTGTACGCGTGCGTAGGGGTGGTGAGACCATTTGGGTGATGTCTTATTGATACTGCGATAATATTTCAGCTGCTCCATTTTACAAATATAAAGGCATTGTAATATACATCTAATTGTGAATTCCATTAAATTTGATTGGCAGTCACAGTTGCTCAATGTATACTAACGTTGCTTAATTAAATAAATAGCAAGTAGCCAAAGAGGCGAAAGATGTGCGTCGTTAGATACCCCTTACTTGGTATTAAAAATATTGGAGTTGTTAGTCAATTATGAATGTTGATGATTTTCAAAAATTGATTCGACAAGTGATGGAACTGCGAAAGCTTGAAACGACACAATGAAGATGTCAATCACGAAGGCGGAACGCCAAACAATAATTGGCATTGAATTAGTCGACAGTCATCAGAGCGCATACGTATACGACGCGAATTGGCCAAAATCCTTCGAACGAGACGTAGCTGTATTAGTCCTCGCGTCGAAATTAATCTTGGAAGCGTTGTCGCGTTCGCGCGGCGTGATTCAATGACGACAAACGCCGTGGCTATAGTAGAGAGTGAAAGCTCTCTAGCGGCGCCACGCGCAATTAATTACAAAGGGCGAGGGTGGGGGGGGGGGGCAAACTTTAACGCGCCTCCGTGCACGCGGAAGCTCTAAACTCCCGACAACTTTTCCGCGCGCGGAGGCTGCGAAGTTTGCATGTCGCGTTAGCTCGAGTCAAAGCGCCGCTCGCGCGTCGGCCAGTTAACTAACTCTCCAACGTGTGTTTGGAAACAACGCGCGTCACCTCGGTTCTCGCACGCGACTGCGACGTGTGCACGCGCAGCTGGCCGCCGGCTGTGTAAGTTGGCCGTGTGGCAATAGGCGCGCGCGCGTCGTTTGTTGCACCATCGTGTGCGTCTGCTGCGTGCATGCGGAAGGACGAACATTCGCGTGGGATAGGCGCGCGACCTGCTACGGCTATTTTTCTTCCCGGGATTCACTTCTTCTCGGGCATCTGGATTGTTTTTGGGCTGCGAACGATCGTAATCTTCGAATGTTAAGATACGCGTTGATGGAGGATGGTAATTGTTTGATTAGCTCGGATAAGCTAAAATAATGTATTTGAAATAATTGATTGAATAATTGTCTTTACATAAGGGAAAATAATTAAAATAATAATAACACTGGTGATCTTGCTTTTAACTTATTACCTATAAGATAACATACGAAGTTTCCACTTTATCCAATTTTTCGCAGTTCTCATTAGACTAAAATTAAAATAAATATACAATGTAAGATAAGGTACAAAAGAGTTAGTTAGTTAGTTATCATTCAAAACTAAAATGTTTACCGAAACCTTAGAAGCAATCAGTCGACTAGACATTCAATACCCATCATGTTATGTAAGTCAATATGTGCTTTTGTACTCTTGTGGCTTAATTTTACTCTTCGCTAATGAAAAGTTTCCATTATCTTTATTAGTAAAACAATTTTCTTTTTGATTCAAAGAATCTTCATAAAATGATAGAACCAACTTATCTTACGACTCAGTTTATGAAAGCCTTTACGTCATTAAATATTAACACTCGTAAAAAGAAACCACAGACAAATAAAAAAGATCAATACTGTTTGGAAAACAAATTTCCAATTTGTTGAAACTGCTATCGATTCAATGCGCAAAACAATAGTCGTAATGTTAGGTCACATTGAACGGTAATGAATCCAAGATGCAATAAATAATAATAGTGCACAGTCATGCCGCTAGGTGCAGTAAATTTTTATGCCTCGTGTAAAATTAAGCTCCGACTCATCGGAATGAAAGGCAAACTTCAGACAAACTAACCGCATGTACTAGGTTATCGAAAGTATAATTAATCGATGTTACGCCGTCACCGGGACAAAAATCACTAGTAATCTCGACTTTCGAAAGTCCCAAAGAAATGATCTATGCCACGCAGATAGTTCCCAGGCACGGCGACAGCGCGTTACGTATTTTATTTACCTCGCTGCTCCGTGCATTTCAATTTTGATCATTTGCTCTCGATTCGCCTCGCACGTTCTATCCGACATCCATTTACGCAAACCGTCGGGAAAGCGGGAACGCGTTGCGATCAAAATTTACGCGCGATCCTCGCACTCCGAATAGATCGCCGTTCAAACAAACTCTTATCCGTCATCGGACGATGGATCGATCAACTTGTCGTATCGCTCCACTTTTAAATATCCGTGATTTGACGCTGCCACGCGTCATAGAAGCCGCAGCCCGACGTTATTTGTATATTTACTTTGTACATATATCTACGTTACATTGACGCGGCATTCAAAAGATACTGATAATCCAGCCCGTAGAATGATCAAAGCCTCGGTTAATCATCGTTACACACGAGAAAAGACACGCGCACGAGTGTAACAGTTTCACGCTGCAGCACACTCCTCGAAGAGGCATCCGCATCGAAGATCACGAAAGTAAACCCCAGAAAGAGATTTGATCGAGTTGTCGGGAAGAGAAGGAGGGTGTGGCAGCAATCATCGATGAGATCAGAGCTCCTTCATCAGCGATGAAATGAAATTCGCTCTTGCCGCGCGTGCGAGATCCGAACGGGAGCACGAGGGTCCAACCACGTGTTTCATCTTGAAGTGGCAATTGTCAGGAAGGACAAGAAATCGTGGAGATAGGGGGGCGGAAGGGGGGAGAGTAGAGAACGAGAAAGAAATGAGAAGAACTTTGTCCAAGTCCACGATTGAATTTGAGGAGTGTCGAGAGACGTCGCGTCGAGCAAATGCTGGTTGTAGTCTCGCTGATTAATAGAGTGTGTTGTGCGCGCACACGCGCCCTAATCGTTTGCCTGAAAAATTGATGGCAAGGAGAATTTTCGTTTTCGTTTGTTTGCAGCGACGATTCGTTGGCTGCGAAGCCACGTACGCCCCAGTGAATGCGAATTAACGCGGCCGTTATTTGTTGGAAAAGCAACAGCTACCGAAACGCTCGCTTTGTCTGGAACCGAGAGCGCGTATTTAAAAAATATGTAACACGCACGAATAACTAGAATGTACTTTTGCGAGCTACGCACTCACGGATTGGTATCGTCGGCTCTTAAAAGCGTAGTAGCTGACAACGAGCAAAAAGTTGATCGTTCAGCTGCCCCTCGCAAGCAAGCCGCTTTACTTCTGTCGGACTTGTTTTCAACGGGTGATCCTATTTCACATAGTGCTCTGCTCCCACGACGCGAAAAGCGAGACAAACTCTCTTTTATAAGCGCGCGGTGTTTGGCTTTTTATATCTATCGAGTCGTCCACTCTCTGCCTGGGAGAAGCGCTATCTATCGAAAGAAATCGTAGGGGATGGGAAGTGAAAGTTTACTTTTTTTTTTTTTTAACGCGCGTTGTGAAATTACAGTTCTACGCATTAGATTCAAACCCTCGTGTAACGGAGAGCAACGAAATACATTCGAAGAGCGTCGTTACGCGAGTACCAGATTAGAATCATCGAAGCTTTTACGACTCGAATAAAAGAGCAAATATGTTGCATACGTGGATACAAACAATCTTCCGAGTAATTGGCCGAACGGAACTTTAGATCGTCACAGCACAAGCTCAACACGTCTAATTTCGGACGAGCCACTTCAGCGATACGCCGGTCGACTATAATTTGAAATAATCCGCTGAGATAGTCACCTACGAAAGCTATAACTGGAAGGCGCTCGAGCGCATCGCATACAAGATTCGACCCAAGGAGCGGAGACTTGTGGAATTTGGATATGCGCTGCTTTACATTGAATTCTTGATCGATCGATCGAGACAGGGTTTTTTTTGGATTTTCGATTCCAGCGAGTCGCCTAAAAAAGAAAGAGCGGAGGTAAAGTGTGGTTTAACATGCGCGACTCTCCTGTTTTTGCGATAGGCCGAGCTTGCATTTCCTGCTCTTAAGAGATTTTTCTCACCGAGGCAGACTCTGTTGCGAGTGGCAATAGTCCCTTATGTAGAAGCGACAGCATTTATGCATATTTACCATCGCATAGGATACCTCGGCAAGTGATTGCATCAATCTCGCGAGAGCCCGCATTTACGTTTTAAATCGTAATTTTCACGACTCTCGTTTATCCCTACTTACCTTCAACCCACGTCAACAGCGATTCATAATACACAATGAAAGAACAACAACTTCTATACAGACTACGTATGCGGGTCATTGGTTTACGACAAATGTTTATTTTTTTCCTTTTTTGACACTGGTCACTTCAACCGTATAGAATGAGTTCCTCAATAATGTATTTTCGCGATTTTGGTGAACAAGACAGACGTTCATTGCCGGCTCGTTGACAATTCCAATTCATTTTCTTGATAAAAAAAACACATAGACACATCGCAATGAACAGCCTGATGAAAATATTCGTTTTCTTTGTGTTGCAGAGTCGAAAAATTCAGATAATGATGGGTCGCTTCCCGCTCGCCAGGCGTCTCAGCTTGCAGCCGTCGTCGATGAGGAACAACTCCGAGGATGGATCTCATAGGCACTCGAGGTACAAAGGCATTTCTTGCGTGCAGTACCTCCATTGTAACAATCTCCAAATTGCTATTGCCCTCGGCGCGTGCAACGAGATTGCATAGACTGTACAATAGGGATATGAATTATATACACGTCTCCAAATATTTCAAGATTCTGCGGGCAATATTCCTCTTCTTCTATACGAAATACGTTTTAATATTTTGCATTAGCATTTGGTATCCTTTAGCTTAAAATGTGGCGAAGAAACGTATTATAGTAAATTGGATGTATTGTTATAACATTCACTTTGATCAATGGATTTAATTAAAAATGTTTCTATTAACTTTTTTTAAAAACTTCGTTACAATTAAAAACTACGTAATTGTAAAATGAAAAATTTTAACGAATTCGCCATGGGCATGCTAGTGTATTTTGAATAATTTATTAATAGAAAATAATTCAATGCATAGTACCGTCCATCCGTTGAAGAAAAGGATAGCACAGAAATATTAAAGTAGCTATGGCAATGAAATAATGAGGTATTTGTTCCAAAATATAAAAAGTAAAAGAAAACATATTTACATACCATCGGATAAATGAATTGCCTAGCCACGATGAATTTCTAATCAAGTGTAAAAATAAATGGAATTCGCATATTGCCTTTGCAAAAAGCGTATTACGAGATCCGCTAGGAAAATCGAAGCATACAGAGAGAATCCGTGCATTGACAAAGTTGCGGCGTTCAAAGCAGCCGCAAGCTCTAATCCGAGCCAAGCTTTGATCACCGCTCGCTCTCGAAAGAAGCTTATGATACTTCTTCGGCGAGTAAGAGAACAGGCCCTTAGGACACCTTCGCTTCCAGGGCTTTAATACGGGAGCCTTTGAGCCGAGTCGCGCGCTTTTGTGTAGAAAAAATAAAAGAGGGAGAGAATTATAAGCGAGCGAAACGAAATGATAAGGGAGGCGGCGATCGTTACCATCGCGCCGCGCACTCTCCCTTGATCAGCGTGCACGTTTCACTTCGCAGCTGAATACCGAAGAGCGAGAGAAAGCTGCTACACGCACCGTTGACTTGCATTTGTGCGCGCGGGGTGCGTCGGCTATTCCGAATTCCGAGGCTTGCGAAACGAGAGCAAACGAGCGCCATGAGCAACGCCGCGCGCGCACTTCCGAATAAAATCGCCGTAAAGAACAGTTAAGGGCGAAGCTCGAAGCTCGAGATGGATGGGGATCGGGACCTCTGCAATACAACGGCTCCCTTAATTAATTGAATGGAATTTAACGGTGCGACCGAGAGCCACGAGGAACGCAAGTGAAATGAGAAGAATCCGTTTGCGCGTGCGTAGCCTAGATTTTGCCGTTTGTTATTCAAAGTGGATTCGTAGCGATTTCCGCCGCGCGCGTATTGCTTTTTAATGGACCGACTACCCCCCCCCCCCTCCTCTCTTCCTCTCTCTCTTTCTCTTTCTCTGACGGCGCGTACTCATTAGCATAACGATCGCACGCTTTTTCCTCGTCCTCTTTAGATTGAGATGAATGCACCGCGTTCGTGATTCATTTACTTTATTTAAAAATTGATCGCTTTGCCGCTCTAGACGTCAAATGATCTTCTGCTTTTGTTCCATTTTCCGTTATCCTTTCTGTAAATTGCTTCGACGAAAGAGCTTTCTATTAGTTGCTCAAGTTTATGTTGGTGCTTTGATATAACGTGACAGTGAACTTAATAAAAATTCTTAATTCATCTTTGCTCATGCGTCTTTCAGATGACTGGTCGCTTTACGGAAATAATTGCTCACAAAGAAAATTATGAAAAAGTTTTTTTTTATTTTCATTCCATATCGTTTCAAGACTGCGATGACAAAAATCATAGATCGCGTATCAAATAAAAATTATCATGGTATTCCAGGAAATTGTTTAAAAATAAATAGCATATTCGTGGGGATTCAATTTGAATCATTTCGATAAAAGCCGAAAATCGTCAATAGAAAAATGCACGTTGGTTCTAGTGTAGTTAATCGGAAAGCATCTCTACACAAGAAAATGAACTTGTTAAAATTGCAGGGGCAGCAGACACGGCGAGACGATAAACGGCGGAAAACCTATAAAAGTGATTGTCTTGGGTGTTTCCAAAGTTGGGAAAACCGCGCTGATCCATCAGTTCCTCTACAAGGAGATACCCGACAGATACAAAGCCACAGTGGACGACACACACCCGGCAACATTCAATGCGCCGCGCGGCAAGAAAATTGAATTCGACATATTGGACACATCGGGCTCGCTTGAATTCCCAGCGATGTTGGACGTCTCGATCAAGCAATCCGACGGCTTTGTGCTTGTCTATGACGCCAGCAATCCCAGCACCTTCAAGAAGGTCGAAGAGCTGCGCGAACAAGTCGTACGCACCAAAACTAAGGCACCTATTGTCGTCGTCGCCAACAAGATCGACCTGTGCGATGACAAAGATATGGTGAGAGCTTTTCCTTATTACCGCTCGTTGCGCCTTGTCTTTTCGCCTTTACGACCGCTTCTACAGACAAATATACAACTCCTTTTACGCGACAGTGCCGAAAGTTAGAAATACAAGTAGGTCCACCGATGTCGGAGCGTAAAAATACACTCGCTGGAAAACGTAAGATGCTCTCAGCACGCGCACAACGGACGACTTTCCCCATTTTCACCCGACTCGCGCTGCACCTCTCCGTGTCATCCAAATCTCATCGAAGATCACAACAGCTTTCAAACTTGAAGATGGATCGTAGATATAACGTTGACTTTTTTCGTAAATAACGCGCGTCAAATCATGACCGTTACGAGATGTAGTCTGCCTAATGAAAATCAACTGACGTCACCTTGCAAACGCTTGCAAAGCGTTCAATTATATAGCGAACATACAAGGCAAAGTAAGCTACTTCAGCGAGAAAATTATAAGCGTGTCTTGTCAGAGCTTTCAGGAGAGCTTTCTCAGCGCGAGCGAGGCACGAAAATGCGACCAGGGCGCCCGCAACCGATCCTACGGCATAGAGCTCGTCGAAGTAAATTGAGCGTATAAGTAGAGGCTTTTCTCGGTATAGGCGGCTTTGATCGGATGATGCGCTTACCAAACTCCACTCGACAATGTACAACGTTTGCGGGACATCCGCGACCCTTCACCGTTTTTGCGGAATTCCGTTTGGCGCGGGTGGCTCCTTTAACCGCCGAATTAATTAGCTCGCAAACGCCCTACACAATGCACACGCGCGATCGCGCTGATCTTTCGTGAGGTGCCAAACTGTTTTGCTGCCTCATGACAAGAGCAATGCGTACTGTTTTCAAGAGAACGTTGTATCGTACAATGGCAAAGCTTTCGCCGAGAAACATTGAACGGAAAACATTTTCAAAAGTATTAGACTAACGGCTGGCACATTATCTCTCTTTGTCTTATTTTTTCTTTTTCTATTTTTGTTTTTGCTTTGTTTGAGCTTTCGAATGATAATGGACCAAGTAGGCCATGCGAAATCGCACGCGCTCGCTCGATCTTGCAATAAAAGAAAATGGCTTGGTCAATGAAAAATGTGTGTCGCGCAGGAGGAGATAAAAGTCAATCGCGAGCTGGTGACGCAGCAATGGGAGCACGGCTTCGCCGAGGCCTCGGCTAAGGACAACACGAGCACGACGAACGTGTTCCAGGAGCTGCTGAAGCAAGCGAACATCGAGTACAATCTCGAGCTGGCGTTCAATAAGCGACGCCAATCGCTCCCGCCGCACCGAGCCAGCATCCAAGCCTCCCTGTCGCCAGCGCAACTGCAGCATCTTCAGCAGATTCGCGAAAACTCCGACCGAGGATCCGATAAAGGACGCAACTCGTGCAGCGTCTCGTAAATCTTGTATTGTCTCTTGTAATACAAGTAACCACGTGCAAACTTGATTCCTACTTGGACCAATCGAGTTTCCAAGTGGTCCGCTACTAGCTTCGCTCTCGAGAACATTCATTCAACGCCACAGCTGTTGTTCTTCTCCTGTGGCGATCGTTTCTTAAAAAAAAAATTAAAAAACAAAAAACACCTTGTCCATATAATCTCTAATAAACTGTACGTTACTTATTATTGGATTATGACCTCTACATAAACTTTCTGAAGATTGTTCAATGGGTAATACTGAGGAAGAGATAAGATTATTTTATTTTTACTTGCATCGTACGTGTACTCTCTCATAAGGGAAGGCAGAGAGGTTGTCAGTCACCAATTTTTCTTTAAACTTTGCATATGTGTAGAGTATCAAAAATATTCGACACGTTTTTTTTTAATGATCCATACAGTTATATAGAGGATAAAAACAGAATTGCCAATTATATATACTTACATTTAAGTGCCTAATTCAAATGATCTTGCTGAAAGAAGATATTTAAACAATTCAAAATTTATTTTGAAGGGAAAGGCTCATACTTTAAAGTGCAATGATTAATTTTACCGAAAAAAATATTAAGTTATGATGTTATATAACCTCAAATATGTGAAAAATTGCGTTTTTTGTACTTTTAGTTTTATATGTAAGGAATTTCGAATTTTTAAAACCTTTGCAGAGTTTCTCTCGTTATTTGTTCTAATTATAGTATTCTTTCAAATTGAAAAATCAGTTTTTGAATCCGAATTTCAAAATAGGCCCTTGTAAATTTCAAATGTTAACTTTCGTTAACATTGTGTTTTGTTAACATTTTGTTATTTATCGCAGATCCGAATTCTGGGGAAAATCACACATCCGAATATGATATTCAATTCTAAAGAAAAAATATGCATTTCTGAAAAAATTTCTTCCAGAAATTTCACATTTGATCATAAATTTATTTATTTATTTCTCTTGATAGTTACATTCATATACATCTTAACATACGTCAGATACAACTATTTATTTATCTTATACATATATTTGTTATTTTTAAGAATTGTTTTATATAACTATGGTATATAATTCTTACAATAATAATATTCTGTAAAGAAATAATTTATGCACAACTTTTTTACAACTACAAATTATAATTGCATTGTAGTTTTCGTAGTTACATAGAGGTTCTTTTTATATGGTAAAGGAAAATTCAACAGAATTATCAAATTTTGGAAGTCCATCAATATAACTACTTTAGAACTATGAATACTGAAAGTATTCTGATACCTCAGAGGATATAACTGATTATGTACGAAGATTGCATTTTTATGATAAAATTTCTTGAATATTGTATTCCATTGAAACAATAATATATCGTTTTTTTACAAAATTCTTCTTGAAACAAAAACCATAAACACACATCTAGAAGCTGAATATTACCTGTCGCACCAGGTAGTATTGTCATTATCTTTAAACTTGTTCTGGTACAACTTCTAGTACGGTATTATTGTATTGCCTACTCCACGAATCTAAAAGTAAGACCGATGAATTTCCAGTGTTTTTAAAAATACTTTTTGCATTCACATCTAAAATAGTTCTTTCGAAAAGTATCCAGATTTCAGATGTAGAAATTGGTATTATTACATTTTCTGGTAAAAATTAAAGTGAAAGCAAATTATCCTCTGCTAATATAACAGGTTGAATAGTGTAACTGACTTTTGAACAAACCGATCAAAACTGACTTTTCAATTTGAAAAAAGGAAAAAAAAATGACAAAAAAAATACTGTAAACGTTTTGAAAATTCGAAATTCGTTACATAGAAAAGTGCAAAAAACACAAATATTACACATATTTTAGATTATGGAAAATCATAAGATAATCTTTTTCGGTAAAACTTATCAATGCATCCTAAAGTATAAGCCTTTTCCTTCAAAATAAATTTTGAATCGTTCAAATATCTTTTTTTCACCAAGACATGATAATTGGAAATTAACGTCTCAGCAACTTAGGCACTCAAATGCAGAGTAATTATACATAATTGACAACCCAGTTTTCATCCCCTAAATCACCATACGGAGAGCTAAAAATAACAAATGTCCAATATTTTTAATAATCTACACGTATGAGAAGTTTAAAGAAAATCGGTGATAGATACCTCCCTGCCTTTCCTTGTCAGTTGCCCGTAAAAAACTGTCGTTCATGTGTACAACCCCATTTGTTGGTTTCTCGTCCTCCGCAACAAAACCTCGCTATCCAGCAGCTTTCTTTTCAGTCTATGTAGAATAAAGAAAGATACATAAAATGTGAGTCAATATGTAACCTAAACATGTACAACTCTCAAATAATTTACTCCAAAAACGAAAATGTCCTTGTAATAAGTATTTGTAGACTAATCAACAGGTATAATGGATGTCCGGCCCAAAGTTTAGAAAACATTTTCAATTTTCCGTTTAGATAGACTTGACAGACAATTATATAATAAACTTCATAAAAAAATATGAACAATAAAGGCATTTCAGACGTCGAACATTTTTGTCACAACTCTGTGTTCTACCTGTGTACACTAATACACGAATTACATGAAAAGAAAAATAAATTTTCAACTCATATTTCCTAATACTTTTAAGCACAACATCTTAACGTTATGTAAAATTCATTTAATTTTATAATGAATAATAAAAATGTGACACATAAACAATAATTATTATTGTTTCTGTGACTGACAAGTTAAAAAAACTAAAATCTAACAGGTTCTGTCAGATAAGAGTCGCACTGTACTAATATATTTAAATCTTAGTTTCCACTTTAATTATTGTAGTTATAATGAATACGTTATTTCAAAAGCGTAACATCAAAACATACCGTACCTATTTTATTGGATTATAGTAGTTATTGTTATATTCATTAACGAAAATAAACAACCAAAATTTCCTTCTTCAGTAAAATAACATGAGAATTTGTAATAAAAGACTGAAAAAATACACCATACCCAGTGTGACAAGAGAACAATTTAATTGTTCTGTATTTCTCATAAAAAAATACATTATATAATTTAAACTAATGCAACATTCTACAACACGATATGGAAAATGTAATAATACAACAACAAAAAATACCTAACGTTTTTTGCTTGGCGATGATTTATCGATCAAGTCAAACAATAGAAGCATGTAAACGAACACGTGTGCAATCAATGAAACATAAGTTTTCAGCGGGTTATCTTTTATTTTACCAAAAAAACGATCAGTTTATTGCTTACATTGACCTGTATCAAGTTGCGATTATTCTTTACAATTCCGCTTGATCTAGCGAAGAATTGTTTTGAAATCAAAAATGCAACATGCATTATAATCACGCATATAATAATTATTTTTATCAGAAAAGAAAGGTTAAAACTAAGTTATTATTATTACAAATTCTACTACGAATAAAATATAATAAAGTTGTACGGGTAGTTTAATATAACGACATGCATGTATGAAAAACAGAAGTTACTATAATAACTTAAAATAAAATTATTCTGTTTCTTATCAATAAATCAAAGTATTCGAAGTAAACTAGTGTGTTTAAAGACATACTAGAAGTTTTTATTCGACAAATTTCTGTTGACAAACTTGTTCTCAATTTACGTTGCAAAAATGATATGAATAATCGCTATAAATTAATAGAATACATCATTAATATGAATGAATAACTTTCTCACAAATCATATAAAACATCATTTTTCTGATGGTATTTCGTAAATAATTAATATTCTAATTATATTTGAAAGAGAATAATAGCAAATAAATCCTAATCTACAAGAAGCTGGACTTCTACGACCGCCCTAATCTAAAAGAGCTAATTATATTTTTCAAGTGAAAAAATTGAAAAGTATTACGCTTTAAAAACTTCTCCGATTAGCTAGCTGATATCTAAAACTTAAATCAAACAGTGTGCATACAAGTAATTATCAAAATATCTGTGAATCGTTAAAGTATTCTCACTAAAAGTAGGGCCTAATGGCGTCAGATTGTGATTGCAAAAAAAATTATCTGTAAGAATTTTAAGCAAAGAAGAAAAAGAAAAAGAAGATGATGACAAAGAAAAAGTACCTACTTTGTAATTGTTTTTCCATTAAATATAATCCGGCGAAGAAGAACAGATTTAAGAGCGGACAACTTTATGCAATTGTATTTTCTACGAAAGCAAAATTCAAAATTTTTTCAGAGTGCTATTAATTATGCGTATACTACTTAAAATTAATGTAAATACTATGGTGAATATATTAAGATTCTAATAAACGTATATATAATATATAGAGAGTAAAATTCTAAAAGTGTATAATTTTATTTTTAGCACATCAGATATTTCTACATGAAGTATATAAGCTATAATCACAAGTTAAAAATTACACCAATTAATGCGATAAACTGTAGTATAAAAATTTTATAAACTGGATTAATGAATTAACTTTTATTTTTATTTTCTCACGATCAACTCAAATACTTATAAAAATAGCAATGGCATTATAAAGGATCTAATAAAGCTTTCACTTTTATTCTTATAAAATAAAATGTAATTGTAAACCAAATTTAATGATAACCACAAATTATCTTATAGAGTAGTTACGTGAAATTTCTATGTAGCTCTAAACTTACATGAGTTGCGTTGAGTTCAATTAAATCTGATTTTTGGATGTAAAGTCTCAACATGGCGCGTCAGTAAGTTTTCAAATGAGAAAAAAAATCAAGTGTAAAAAGGCCTTAGTACGTGATAGAAACTCTCTATAGCAACTTAGGATTTTCGCAGTTTCTGTATAATCTTTCATAAATACCTATATAATCGATACGATGATTGTAATATTGTGTGTACGTGTCTTGTACATATAAGAAACAAATTGATCATATTTCTTTATAATATAAAAAATTAAAAATATAAAAGATTATTCAAATATCTCTCCATTTACGCAATTGACATTTTATGCTATACAAGTATGCTCTGTTGAACTTCAATTACACCAACCAAGGAAACTTTATTAATTGTTATAAAAGTATATGACCGTTATTAACTTTATCATAGAAATTTTTTTATTATTATATGATTTATTATTATGTAAGAAAATTTAACGTACCTAAAAAAAATATGCGATCATACGAATACCTGTATGTATGGACAATTTTGTAATTAAAATTTAAATTAAAATATTTACATTATAAAATAATTAAATTGACAATTTAAAAATTGTGTTGGATTGTTTACTCCAAAATGCAGTATTTGTATTAAAAAAACTTAATAAAGCATGAAAACGTTTTCCGTCATTGATAATACTTAATTCACATAGACATAGTCCATTCTTTTTTTAAATACACATTAATCCCAAAACTGATGGCAGTTATCGCGACAAACTTCAGTGAAATATTTAAGATTTCAAATTTCTAACGAAGATTCGTTTAATTTATTTATATAGCATACAAATCTTCGTTTAAAAATTAACCTGCTGGACAAAAGCCGAAATATCTCTTGCTGGTGCTGACCCCTGTAACTCCTTCCGTCCACTCCACTGTAACCCAGCCCAACAGCTGCAAATTTTTTTGCGTCATTTTTCTTGAAGGCGATTGGCTTACTGACATGTCACTATGAGTGATCATTCTAAGCTACATCGATCAGGTCTATCATTTAAAATGACCAACTCCGATGAAACTTTGCCCATTTGTTGCTTGCACAAAGCTCAACGCATTTCTACCTAATTCCAAGCTTATACAACACAGTCCTTTCGATCGGCAATTTGAAAAAATAAACTTTTTTCGAATACGTATAGCTCGTTAGTTATTACAAATAGCTTTATGTATAATGTATATTTAAGTTTGCGTTTCTGCGTGTTTATTGAACTTATTTTCTTCGAAAACGATATTATTTCGATATTAAAATTTTATGATCGACCGTAGCAAACGAGGCCTAAGTAATAATATACGCTGTTAACTACATGAGCCATGCTCTCTCCCAACTCTATGTAACGCTCGTATTACAAGAATGCGATCTTATACGCCAAATTTTAATAAGATATCTTGAAAATTGTAGAATTATACACACGAACAAATTAACGATAAAATTTAAAAAAATTACTTTGTCGTCGATTTGTTCTACATTTTATTTTAATCGAGGAGACATCATGTGGGAGGACAATAACCAACATGAAAAGTTATTGCATGTATTTTATACAATCACGCCACACGCGCACGCACACACATATACAATGTATTAACAAGATATCTTAAAAATTATGGAAATACCAGATGTATACGGCTATATATCCAAAAAAGATGCTAAAGTATACATAAATAACAGATATCGCGAAGTAAACGATTTTAAAAACTTCTCATCAATTTAATCTGATACTGTACGTTTAGCTTTTTTGATAGGAGGACGTTGTTTTAATAAGAATACCTTGTATATACGAGGTAATTGTATCTGAGCATCTCTGTGATAGCTAAAGTTTTCCTTGTGAAGTCGTTACAGTAGGTTCAGCAGTCGATTGAGTTAGCGAGGCTCCTAATTTCTGTTACCTCTATTCGTTGTTTACTACACGTCTTCGGCACATTGTGTACATTGTAAAAGTATATATTTTTACTGGTATTTAAAGAACAATCGCATGACTTTTAATAATTGCCAAAATATACACATTAAAAAAACAGTCAATTTCTTTTGAATTGTTAATAATTGACTAAAGAATTGCTACACATAACGAATTGGCATTTAGCAGAGATGTTGATCTTTAAGTAAACATCAAACGTGCGAAGTTTCATCGAGATCGGTCATATATCAAGGAATAGGTCTGATTGATACAGCTCGGAATGAAGCTATGTTTTGATCTTTGTCCCTTCATTTTGCCAAGCCTCAGCCACGATCAGTTATTAAGAATTATCAGTTATTATCAGTTATTGGAAACTTACGATATGCGTGCATATATATTAATGCAAAGACAGAGGCTACTCGACCGCATATTCGACTCGCCGAGAACTTGCTGTGCACTCCACAAGTGCGTGCCGCGGGCCAAACTTTCTTCACGATGGTATGTATGTATTGCTATATAATATATGATCGATCAAATACACTCAACTTATATTAAACTGAGAGAGCAAGGTTTTCCGCGAGGATAAGAAGCGTGCAAACATTCCTGTGCTTCTTCGTCAGCTATGTTCCATTCAGATCGATAAGTCGATTTTCCAATCAACGCATTTGATAACCAGGGCGGATACTCAACTGATCTTGCGTTAAGAATTCAACGTTCAACCAAGAGTATGAATATATATAAATTTCAGAATATAAATTTGGACTTTGTTTTCTTATTTTCAAATTAATTAAATAGTTCAGATTTTTTGTGTGGAAACTTATTCATTTAAAAAACATTTTCTCTCATTCGTATAAGCATGTATCCAAACAAGGAAAGCAAGCAGTATAGGTTGTTTTATTGATGTAAAAAATGGCATTTGCAATGTTACAGTTCATATCGAATTGATGATGGTGGATGGGTTGGTATATATAGTGAGTAGCTTTGGCGGTAGTGGTGGTAGAAGTAAAAAAGTCTTTATAAGACGGTCACCAATCACATAAAAGCAATTTGTAGGCGGCCATGTTTTCTCGACCGTCAATATCAATACAACTCATATCAGCACCGTTTCAGGTTTCAGCGAAGTAGTCCAGTTGTGCGAGTGTTGCTGTCTCGATAAAATTAAGTTCGAAAGCTATACAAGTGACCGAGTGACCGTAAAAATGTGGAACTACTGCACAAATCGTCGGTTTTTTGTGATCTGCCTCTAACACTGGTCGTGAAGATACTTTTCTCAACAGACAAAAAGTAATTTCTTTATATAAAATAAAGTAGCATTTTTTTTCAATTTTTTATGAATTCTGTAATCATGATATTTACAGTCATGCCGCTGTTCGCACTCATTTCATTGTTAAGTATTGTACAGATTGGTAGTTCAAATGAAATTCTTGGCAAAATTATTTTTGCTAACATTGTAAGTACAAAATTATTCGCTAAAGTTATAACCTAAAAATACTGCAAGTAGAAAAATTTATAAGTAATTGCTGCAATTCATATTGAAATTTTATCTATAATAAACAAACGTTTTGTAAGTTTTATATGTCATTCAATAACGTAAATCATTTTTAAAAGGTATTTTTAACCTTACAATATTTTGCCTTTTATCCATAATGTTATTGTAATGACTCAAGATACATGTAGATATAGATGTTTACATTTTTTTACAATGACCTTAATATCTTGGTACAGTTAAGAAGTAACTAATTTAAAGTTTTATAGCTTGATTATAACATGTTTTAAAATATCTTTTTATTTTTCAGCTTTTTCGACATGGAGATAGAACACCTGTTGAACCATATCCTAATGATCCATACAAGAACGAAAGTTTATGGCCAGTACCATTTGGTCAGCTAACTAATGTAAACAAATATATTATTTTTTGATTTAAAATATCCAGTAATTTAATAGAATTTTTGTTAGTCAATATGTGATTTTTATAGCTTGGAAAACATCAGCATTTGATTTTGGGTAAATGGCTTCGCAATCGCTATTCTCATATACTTCCATTAAAGTATTCGCTATATGACATCTATGTAATTAGCACTGACGTAGATAGAACTTTAATGTCAGCAGAGGCAAACTTAGCTGGTTTATATCCACCTATTGGAGGAGAAATTTGGGATATTAAAAAATGGATGCCAATACCAGTGCATACTATTCCAGAAAATGAAGACCATATCCTTGCTGGAAAAAAATATTGCGATAAATATGCTTATGAATTACAAAGAGTATTAACTTCTCCCGAAATGAAGAAGATTGATGAAGATAACGCAGAGTTGTATAAATATTTGAGTCAAGTAACAGGAAAGAGTATATCTTCTTTAGAAACCATTGAATACCTATACAATACTTTATACATTGAGGTAATTAAATAACTCTTTTGACCTTAAACAAAAGCAATGCAAACTATGTCAAATAATTAACAATATCAACTGTAGGAACTATATAATAAAACTTTGCCTGCATGGACAGAAAATGTATATCCAGATAAAATGAAATCTTTAGCATCCAAGAGTTTTACAATTCAAGCTTACAATAAAATCCTTCAAAGATTAAAAATGGGTATGTATGATAATTAAATAAAAAACTTTCATATTATAAATAAATAAATAAATAAATAATTAAATAAATAAAATTAATTCATTAACATTGAATTTTTTTATGCATAGGTCCTTTGCTAAAAGATATGATTGAGCATATGAAGCTGAAGTCCAAACATGCTCTTATTCCTAATAGAAAATTATGGATTTACAGTGCTCATGATGATACTATAGCTAACATGATGATGACTTTAGGTGTATTTGAACCTCACTGTCCTCCTTATGCAGCAGTACTATTAATAGAATTAAGACTTAACAATCAAAATAACTATGTAGTCACAGTGAGTATTATAATGATATACAATGCTTTCTCAGATTTAGTGAAGAAGTAATTAATACTTTTCTAGATATTTTATAAAAATTCCACTGGAGAGCCCACCCTATTAACACTTCCTGGTTGTTTGGGTGCTTGCCCTCTGAATCAATTTATTAAATTAACAAAAGATGTTATTCCTGATAACTGGGACAGAGAATGTCTTTTGGCATTTGAAAACTATAATTTTAGTAATAATACTATTGCTATAATAGGTGAGTCTTTACATTTTTTATTTTAGTTTATTTTCAATAAGTATCTTAATTCGTCACTTTTCTTTTAGCAATTTTGATGTTGTCAGTACTGACGTTTATTATTTTGATGGTAATGATCGTTGCATTTTTTTTCTGGCATTACAAAAGAGAACATGAAAAGTATTATGCTCGGCTGTCAATGGATGCATAAAAATGCTTTCATATTTGACATGGTTAGTCAATGGATCTTGGCATTTATTGTCTCGAATTCAAATTGCATTTACTAAGATTTGAATACAAGAAATTGTCATGTGATAAAAAACAATGTCATAAGTACATTGACTGACTGAACACAGCGTAAATGTTACCTATTTTGTGTACAAGTTATGTAATGAGTTATATTTGTAACAATTATTGAAACTTTTAATATAGATTGTAAGTAGCATGAAAATTATTTAACTATATTTTAGATAAATGAAATATAACAAACAATTGATTCAAAAGATCAGTTAGTTTAAAAGCTGTTAGAAAAAGAGAAACAAGATTACACATCACATGTGCCATTATACAAGACTGAAAATATTAAGAAATATAATTGAAATTTTTAATGAAAATAAAACTTTTCTTTAAAATTTGGAAAAAGATTTATTGAAAGTTCCATGTACTTTGAAAAAACAAAAAAAAAGACTAGCTACTTATGTGTGTAAAATCTATCCTATTCCTTAGTATATGTATTTACATGTGAAAAAATATGTATAAATATCACACTGATCAGTACATTGCTTCTAAATTAATATTGAATAAACTTCTTGACAGTGAAATTCTGCAACTAAGAATAATATCGGCACCTACAGAATATTATCTGTCAATATCTTGACAGGTAATATCTGCAACTTTTTTTTCTTTAATGTATGTAAACGAAGGAAATTATATATTTCAGAAAGAACACTGTGAACAATGAATTGATGTCATCTATATATTTTGAAACTGTGATAAAATAACATAGAATTGTAAAAGTAAAACATATTGTTTCAGAAATCACATTATAGCATTCGATTTTTACATAATTATAAATTATAATTGTAATATAGTATATTGCTTCCGTATGAAAATACGCATATTTTTGCACATGTATAAATTTGATGCGTTACAATAAAGATAAATATTTGTTAAACTTCAAAGTTATTTTATTTATTTATTCCTTGCATAAAGTACATTTCGAAATTCATTTAACCATGTCTGTGCATGTGTGTGCGTGTGCGTGTACGTGTGGATGCACAATATTTAAAATTTATACAAAATGCATCATTCTTTGAAGCTAAAAACAATGGGTAGAAACAAAATTTTTTCATTCGACACTGGTGAATTACCAAAGTTGACAGTTCAATAAAAAGATCGAACCATTTTGCAATTCAATCTGTTCGGCCAAAAAAAGTTAGAACTCCGTACTTTAGACACCTCTTAGTTAACTAATTGAAATATCTTAGCAAATAATAAATATATTCTATTGCACGACGGATCATATTTTATAAAATTGTAAGAGCTTTCTCTTAACAGCACAAAAACATTAAAATATATTAATTTTGCAATAAATATGTAATACCTTAAAAATGGCCATTTTCGACAGTTATTGGTACTTTTTGCAATAACTAATGATCGAAAATTATCATGCAATAGCTTCAAATGTAGCTTTTGAATTTCTCTACAACTTATATCTAGACGTTTTTATCTAAAATGCAAACCATGGCTTACAGGCTTCAAAAACATGTTTTTGCAAACTTTGATCTCTTCACTTATTAAGGTCTAGGTAAAACAGGTTAGATATCGCCAATCAAACTTTGCCATTCATAGGCAAATCGAAAAAAAATACTCGTATTTTTTTCTAATTTGCAATGGTTTATAAAAAATTATTGAAACAAATTATGACAAAAGTTGTTATTTTGAAAAACTAATGGCAGTAATTAATTCTACAGGAAAAATCACGACTAAAACTTATGTATGAATTTTTTATAAGATATGAACTGTCATTGTAAAACGGCTATAGAAAGTAACTCCATAACTACTTTGTATAATACGTTTTTTATAACTATTTACACTAATAAATGCAACTCTGATGAAAGTGTTACACAGGTTTTCGTTGTGATTTTTCTAGTAGAATCGATTGCTCTAATCAGTTTTTCAAAATAACAAATTTTGTTTTAATTTGTTTAAATAATTTTTTACAAACAATCACAAATGACAATAGAAAAAACAGAGGTACTTTTTTTTCGGTTTGCTTATGAATGGCTTAGTTGGATTGGCGTTATCTAGCCTCAGTTTTATCTGGGCCTTAATGGATTAAGAAAAACATGCAAAATCTCACTTTAAATGATATATAGGGCATCTATTTACAATATTTCTGATGTATTTTCGTCAAGTTTTTCCATATCTGAATTTTCGTCAAAATTGACTGTTTTTTTGTCTCTGTTGATTGGACTATAACTTACACCTTAAAAAAAGTAACTTGTCCTCTAGTACATATAAACAACCAACTAATACCTCAAGCAAACAATGCTAAATAACTTCGACTACATTTGGATCGTCGCCTAATATGGAGGAGAGATTATGCATGGACCAAACGCAAACAACTAAATATACAACTCAGAAAATACTACTAGTTACTGGGCAAAAAATCTAAAATGTCAATTATAAATAAACTATTAATATAAAAGAGCATACTCAAACCAGTATGGACATATGGTATTCAACTTTAGGGTACAGTTATAAAATCAAGCATTGATATCAGGAAGATTCCAAAATAAGTCTTAAGATCTATTACCGATGCACTATGGTTTGTTACAAACGAAATCATCAGAAAGAACGTCATTATACGAAATGTTAGAAGAAACAGAAATCGCTTGTAAAAGGTACACTATATGACTAACAGAACATCCTAATTGTTTAGCAAAGAAATTAATCCACACAACACTAAGAATATCAAGATTTATGAAATATAAATCACGATTTACACATGTATAATTTAGCTCTGTAAAATAAAAGTACTGGTACGGATCAATGGTAAATTATCTTCATATAATGTAATTTGTGTAATCAGAGAATAGTAGTATAATAATATCATTACTTATTGTCGACAAAAAGACTGTAGATAACATTGGAAATAAAAAAAATATATGTTTATATATAATTTATCGACTTATTATTCAGTGCAAAAATTATTCGTTTAAACTTAAATTAAAATAAGATAACACGTTACATGTGTTATTATATAATACTGATTGGTTTTAAGTATCTAATCTAGAACAATAAAATTACTTGTTTAGTTTCAAATGGAATAAAACAAAATTTGTTACGACTTTAGTTGTACGATAAATGATAAGAAAACTTTCATGTAAATTAACGTTTAATAAAGATAGTTGATTAATGAAAGTAGTAATTACAAATACGATAGTTTATGAACGAACTGAAAATAACAAAGGATAGTAAGGCAATAGAAACTACTGTAGAAATATGCTCATATACGACTAAACTGCATTTGTAACCTGAAACCATTCATTTTCATGAATTGGCATATTATACATTATTGCGAATTACATTTATAACTCTCATAATATTCAGTTTTCAGCGAGGGGTATATATACGATAATCAACCTGTAACAGCTGATGAAAATGTGCCCTCCGTGGTAAAGAAGGCCCTTTTCATGCTACAAAAAATGTATAATAACAGCTTATACCAAGTACAACGTCAAAACTTTTCTTCGGGCAATCACTTTTTTAGATACTATATAAGATAAGAGAAAATCCTTATAGGTTCAAGAAAGAAATGTATATACTTTATCGAAGTTTAATGAACAGTTTAATGCAAATCATTCTTAAGCATTTTTTTTATTAGATATAATATTCAATTTGTACATGTACAAACAAATAAGTAAAGCTAAAAAGTACCGAAAGGTTGAAATTGAAAATTATAACCAACTTTTTTTAAATACTTCGACTCTTACATATTTCTAAATTGTTGATATTATTTTGCAATAAAAATGAGTATTTTCTTAGTATAAAAATTTCAATTTATTACTTGATTCTTGTTACATAAAGAATATGTTGTAGAATTTGAATAGAACATGAACACCAGATGTTTTTACGAAAACAATTTAAAAGTAATGAATTAAAATTATAAACAAAAATTATAACAGTAGTTGAAATGGTATTGTTCATATAAAATATTTTTTTAACTTATGTGCATAAGTTAAATAAAACTTTATGTGCATAGGTGAAATAAAACTTTCAAAATTAATTTGTTCTCTATTCCTTAATTTGTATCTAGATTTATACATTTTTTTCAATATTGTTTATCAAATAAGGAAACAAAACATTTGCTAAAACGTCAAGTTAATTAACACAAAATAGTTAATATTCAAATTCAATCATATGTGCTAAATAGTACATTGCAAAGGGTATAGAGAGGGGCTTTTGGGACTGAGGGTGGGGTCACGGAGACGAGTACTATTATAACGCACACGATAACCTTCGATCGCGCACCTATTGATTTTGCAATATTGCACTCGTAAAAGGTGTACCAAATATTTCGACATGGCAGCTAATTCCTATTAATGCATTTGGTGTGACTACGCGCATACCCTCTGAAAGTCACTTCACACCTGTCGCTAAATTTTTGTGCCATCGGTCTGTAAATCAGCACTTTATGCCTCCTTTTATACGAGTATAATATCGCGAAAATCATACATGAGCGATAAAAAAAAATTTACTTTGTAAAAATAATCCTATTTATATAACATTTATCCGAATTAATTGATTTATGCTAACAAATGTTGTCCGAGTAAACACTGTTTTCACCATTTAAAATCAATATAATTATAAACATCTATCGCATAGATCTCCTAATTTATATAGAAAAAGGATCGTTTTTAAAAGTTGTCTTTACACGCGATTTTAAACAGAATTTTATAGCTACAAGTTGCGCCGCGAAGTCTGTCATATATACATATTCCAAGTGAAACGCATCAATTTATCGACTATTATCCCGTCAAATTGTACAAACTTACTGGCAGAAAATGCGATACTGTACATCATTTGTCTATGTTTTAAAATTGAAATGAACAAACGGTTACTTGATTACGACTCGTAATATATGTATAGTTAAATTATACTAAGAATATCAGATAAAATTACTTTGTCGCTCCGTTACGATAACACGAATATGTTGTAGGCTCCAGCTGCACTATCGTTATCACAGAATCCTGGGTTTTTTCTGTAAAACATAATTACAACGATATTTTTAAATGGAAACTATTAAGCTTGATACATAATTCATTCGACAAATAATTAAGATACACACAACTGTTAATGGATCAAACGTTATGAACATCAATATTTGACTCTATAAAATTAATAATCGCAATAAACAAAACTCTTAAACACAACATTACGCGTGAACGCAATAAAAAGATTTTCGAAAAAAATCAGTCTTACCTTCATTTTAAAAATCACTCCTCAGCTTTGTTTGCTCATACTTTTGAGAGTAAGTAAGAAAGGTACAGAAAGAAAATAAAAGATTGTTAGTAAGGTATAAATAGAAATCAATAGCAGATTACATATAGGTGCTACTTAATTATTATAGCTAATTAATTTTTCGAATGGATTTTAATACTCGATTCGGTTTCGTGCCATACATCTTCAGCTATAACGAAGAAACCGATTGGAAAGTATTAAAAGTCTTCGGAAAAGTGACAATAAAAAGAAACAATGACGAACACAACGCAGAACACACAGAAACTTAAGGAGAGCTGCAAATTTCTGGCCGTAAAGCTTGTGCCAACGTAATCGAATGAATGACGTGATAAAATTGTAAGCACATTTGAAATTACGGATGATTTGTTGTCTAAAATTACATTGACGCATTCGTTATAAAGTAAAAAAATCTAGAATAAACTTGTTGTTTTTTTCATTAACGACGATTAAATCTAGAGCAACACTTATCAATGCAGATTTACATACCAACAGCATTAGGAAGCCAACGTGACAATGGTAGATAATAAATTTTCTGTTTCTTAGACATTTGTATTTGATTCGAGACTATGAAAGAATGTACGGATCTGAGATAGAGTTCGAGAGCCCCGCAATTTTAGGCATCCAAGGATGTTTCGGATCTGTTGGTGAAACTGCGCACGTGGAAATAAAAATTTCAAGCCGTTAATATTAGGAAAACTATCGCTGCTCGATGATATACATGTATGTCGCTGTAATAATAGCCAATGAGCTTTATTCAACGAATAATTTTGTGTTTTAAATATATATTACATCTTGCGTTTGCTTCCTCACCCTACGTCTTTGCTTTTATAAACACACACATCTTTGCAATGTAAAATTATAACAATGCAAATCCCCACATTAGCAATTAGCATGTTTGTAAATTGCATTGCTCGCTACTCCACCACAACGTGATAATGTGCAATATAGTATAAACTACTAATTTCAATACCTTTCAATTTTACGTGATTGTTTATTTTGTTTTCCACTGATCGCTCGACGCATTTATAGTGCAATATGAATTTAATTTGTTTAATTTATTTTTAGTGTATCGATTGGATTGTATACACAGAATGTTGATTTCACTTAAAAATATTTATTGTCGTATCATGTTTTTTATCTGTTTTCATAAAAACTTAAAAATATAGTTTTTTTTTATTTCAAAAAATCATACTTTTCTAAGTGAAGGGTTAAAATTGCTGGGAAAATAACTAGGTTTGTATACACATGTAATTATTCACAAACGTAAATTAATGAAATAAATAATGCACAATTCTAATTTACATTTGTCTATGGTATTTTTTCAATTTGAAAAAAAAAACTATCATCAAATGTAGTAGAATGATGTATGTAGTACATAAATTTGTGTGTAATTATTAGATATTGTTAAAAAAACACTTACACATAGTAGACAAATTACAATTTTGTTTGTGTTAATAAACAATTTCAAGATAAACATTTATTAGTAAAATACTTGTAGATAAAAATTATTCACATAACATGAAGTAACAAAAAAAATCGTTTACAAAAAGAGAAAGTAACATAATAAAATTTAAAAAATATCAGAAACAGTTCGCATAAGCAACTTAATTTGACAAAGTATCATCTATAAAATTATATTTTATTCGTTTCATTTTTATTTGTTTATTATTATTTATTATTTTTTCAGCTTGCGTTAAGGTAACTGGTTTACCTATGCAAAAAAGGAAGGTGATTGTTCATCTTTTAATGTACATTGCTGTATGCTATTTGTGTCAAATAAATTTAATTGAATTGAAGTGAAAATAATAAAAAATTCCATCTCTATAAAATCCATTTAGTGACTATTTTCTGAATAAATTCATGTGGTACTTTTAGTCTATAACAGTTATTAACGACTATTTTATCACCTCAATTATGAATACTTATTTTGTACATCGTGAGATTAATTATTGCATGACTTACAAGCTAAGAGTGGCCAATGATTTAATCATTTAAAGACTTGGAATAATTGAATATTTAAATGTGATAGACATTGAACCACAACCTCCACCTAGCGCATTAAAAAAGCATAAGCAAATGATCAATTTACATCTAAATCAAGCTTGAAAAGCTAATTTTTCAAGTATTAGACACATTTGGATATTGCATACAAAATCTCATACAAACCAAGCATTCATTATGTAGCAGTAAAGATGTGCTTGGAGTCATGTAAAAGTTTGATATGCGTGATATACACGTAAAATAATTAAAAATATTGTTCTTATTGTACATGTCTGAGTTTTTTGAGAATTTCATTTTTACTAATATCCATGCTGATCTTACCTCGAATACATCACTGGATTATTCAATCCAAAACTTGTTTCTACTGGACCACCAATATATTTGACGATAAACTGTAAAAAAAGATATTATCGTTAGAATCGTAACCCAATGAACAATATAGCTTTGACAAAATCAAAAATTAAACCAAACTGGGATATTATTAAGGGACGTCGCTCCCATGCTGATGGCCATATGTATTACAAGATATAAACAGAACAATAAATAACACATTGAAAATATTGCTATGACTGTGATGATTATTTCTTTTTCATAAGTGGAATCATCTGCGATATATTCCGATACTGTTTGAGAGACGAAGTAAATGTTGATCGTTATTACGAGTATCGACAATACAGAGGCTACCACTTTATTAAATCTACAAAATTAAAAGAATGGAATAATAATTTCAATGTTATTTAATTACCGTAAAATAATTATTAAAAAATAATAAACGTACATTCCGTTCTTGAATTCTCCCATAATACTAACACTACTGGTAAACGCAATAGTGGGCAGTGCGGCAAACGGCAACTGAAGACTCATCACAGCATTCAAAATATCGTTCATCTTTGTAAGATCATTGAGATCTGCATAGAAAGCTACGAAAAATGTAGGTACGATTGCGATCGTACGAGTAAAAAGAACTCGCTTCCATCGTGCCCATTGCAAGTTGAGGAAACCTTCCATAGCGAATTGACCGGCATAGGTACCAGTCATAGTTGATGATTGACCAGCAGCCAATATTCCGACAGCCCAAATGATCATCGCTACGAAACCGAATGAACAACCCAAAAAGATACCGCCTTTGTACAAATCGGCATCAAATGGCTTGTTGTTCCTCTAAAATTTGATTTAAAGGAATTAGTGCGAACATAAACACAAAATTACTAAAAATTCGTCTCTAAAATAAGTATTACCTCAAATATCTCCATTCCTTGAGTAAAATTATTGCTCTCGCAAATATCGTACTGAAAAATAAACGTCCGATTTCATTGCATTCCTACTCGAAAGCAATGTTAGCATAGGTAAAGTGGTACTCACGATATCGTTGTTGGTTTTACCGAAAAGACTATTGGCAAAAACAGACACAATGAAAACATTGATAACAAATGATACAAGAAGAGCAATGGCTGCCTCAATGAAATAATACATATTTGCCTCCTTGATTTTCTGAGGATGTCTCCTGTCGACGTCACGAGACTAAAAATGATAAAACGTTGAATTATTTGAAATTGCAAATGATTACATTGAAAGTTTATTGTATTGTATGAGCATACCTTAACAAGTGCACTGTGTAGATACAGATTGTGTGGCATTATAACAGCTCCAATTACACCAACGGCTTGCAGTAAAACTTGGCTATCGCAATTCTCGCACCATGGTATAAACATGCCTTTCATGACTTCTCCTTGTGGAGGAGCCGATTTCACATACTGAAAGATTTATCCGAGATTATTTTATATTCATTGCTACTTCATCGGTCAATATAACTGTAGAGTACCTCATAACCAAATGTTATAGCCATAATAGTGATGAGGAAACCGAAAAACAATTCCAACTTTCTTAAACCATATTTGTCTAGAGTTAAGAAAGTGAACGTGTCAATCACCGTGATGAGAACTCCACCCCATATTGGAAGTCTGTTATTTGGTAAAAATGTTATTGATCGTGATTATTTATTGTTGAAATATCGTATTTACAAAAAATATTTATCATAAAATAACTGTATAAATTACACGAATACTGTGTTACCGTAAGGCGGAAAAAATGCATCAAAATTGTACTTTTAATTGTACTTTTCCCAATAACAATGCAAGAGTGCAAATTCATACTTATTACCTTTAATGATCAATGAACGTGAACAATAAAAATTTTTATGTCACTCTTACAATATAATCTTACAATGTAGCCCGAAGATTAGATTAGTTGTTGCGGCGAAGTTTACCTGGATTCAAGTTGCTTCTAAATTGTGCAGAATACAAACGCAGTGCTTTAGTGATTTAATCGAGAGTTAAATAAGCATTATGCAGTCAATCACACAGAATGATTGTGAAGTAAAAAATTGACAAGACTTGAACATTTCAAGAACAAGTGACAAACTTTACTTGGCAATGTTAGCTATCGAGAGCATTTTTAAATAGCAACGATAACTAATAAAGTAAAGCCTTTTACTCCATCGACACGTCCGAGATAAATGACGGGGCAATATTGTCAAATGCCACCGATCACGATAAAGATCCTCGATACCGATTAACACGAAATAGAGAAGGCAAATAAAGAATAATTACCCCTTATTGGTCAAAAGGTAAAGTGCAATGGCCGTGCCTATGACCTCTTGCATGTCACTACCGATAATCGCGATCTCAATCATGATCCAGAGTATTAGTCTGGGTAGCTTTTTGTACTGACGATAACACATCTCAGCGAGATGAAGTCCAGTCACCACACCAAGTCGAGCACTTAGCCTCTGCATGACCAAGCCGAGTATCGTGGCGCTTAGCAGTACCCATAGTAACTGAAAATCAAAATTAGTTGAACTATAGTATGTGAAGACTATGAGATTCGAGCGGAGAAGGAAAAGATTCGCATTACACGAGTATTTCAATCTATGCACGAACGTCACTATTGAGCCAAGAACCAAATCGGTATCATACCTTGTATCTCGCGATAACTCCAGATTGCAAGTCAGATTCGATGTTACCAGGATCGAGGTACGCTATGGACATTAGAAATCCTGGTCCAGTGAAAGCCCATAATTTCCTAAAACTAAATATTCCCTGGAAAATAAAGCACAAGCGACGATAAGCAATCGGTGTTGTTTCTATTGACGATAAGATACATTGCCACAAACGCGAACTCGTAACAGACGCCTCGGGAAATCGAAAGCCTCGCGTAATCGACGTCAACGTCTCGGCTAACGAGGAAAATAATACAAGAATGCGCACTAATGAAAGGACGGGCGTTCCGCGTAACGTTTCGTTTCTGAAGCGAGAGAAGGAAACGTTGCCAGACTATCCGTGGAATAGAATTTTTTCGAACGTGCACACCGTGAACGCCGTCACCTAACGCGATCGGCGTCTCGATCGACGCGCGCGCACGTGACCGATCAGAGCAAGAGAAAAATATGACGATGTTATCAAACTCGTGGCGACGCGCTAGCTGACCTTCCGCGATCCGTATCAATCCGAAGCTTTCACCCGCGAGGCCAGCAACACACTCACGTCGTGGACCTCGGGTATGGGTATCCTGGCGTCGGCGAAGTAAGTCTGGTTGTTGGGCGACAGCGAGGTGCTCTCCGACGCCTTGCCGTCCTTGCCGTCCTTGCCGCCGTTGACGGGGCTGGCGCCGCTGTTGGTCGTGGCGCCGCGCTGCCAGCCGGGCCCCTTGCTGGCGTCCTCCATTGCTCTGTCGAGGAAGCACACTGCAACGAGAGTTGAGTGCGGACGCGATTAGTCGACGATGACCACGGCAGCACTGACGCTCGCGCTCCGCGACGCGAGGCCAGATAAGAGCCGCGAGCGCCCAGGTGGGATCTCGATTTCGTTGTTCTTCCTCTTGTTCTTTGCGCTCCGGCCGCGAGTAATAATGCCTTTTGTGCTGCTGACCGCGACCACGATGACTTCTCGCCTTACGAAGCAGCGCGGCGTTCGCTGCCGGACGAAAGTGACGAATTGCCTCCGATGTTCACCTCGCGCCTCGCTTGCCCATCCACGAAAATTCCTCGGCATTG